TAGTGAACCAACGCCACAAGAAGGATATACTCTTTCCCTATAACTTCAAGTGAGTGTTAATAATATCGATCATCCTTAATGACTCATATGTTGATTCTAGTTAATTAATGAGTGTTATGCGTTATATCCTATAAACACATGTAACAATCACTGGATATTGATGGACATCGATCTGGTGAAAAGTCACTTGATAATCTATGACTCGATGAGAAAACCACAACAAGACTACCAAGATATGATAGATATTATCCAGAGGTAATTTCGGGATCTCTAGCAACTATATATACACACAAACATGATGATTAACTATATCTGATGGCGTGGCAAATTTTTTATTGGACAGTGTTTGGAAAACCTTTATTGAGAAGCAACACATGGAAAAATGCAAAGCGCTACTGAATGTAATCCCTTTGAAAGTAAGTCCCCTGAATCGCATCATCTTTATTAATTAAACATATAGCTTTCACCGGATCACCAGATTAGATGACAAATCTTTTTCTCGTAAAGTGGTGTCTGAGCCAGGAACAGAGGAACAACTATTGTGGTTACTATGTTTGTAAGTTTATCAAGGTGATCTCCCAAAGAACTCCTACAGAGAGACTCAAAGTACGTTAAAAATACACTATATATTCATTTAATTATTATTATTAATTGTGTTACTATGTCTTTACATAAATATATGTACATATATTAATTTATTTTCCTTTAATTCAAACCTGTAGACTCGATGGTTGGAGGAAAAGGTCATACGGCAAGATCAAATCAAAGCAATTCAAGAGTCTATAGCCGGATTTTTTAATGAGCAGGTCATCGATTCCAAGGGCGAGTTCTACTTTGACCCAACACTGTCATGGAAGCCAAGCTAGAGGATGAGAGAAAACTTGTTATATCACAACAACTGTAATACAATCTTTTTGTAATATATGCACATGAAATAATATAATGTAAAATACACATATGCATGCATGCATGTAAATATATATATGATGCATGCATATATATATATATATATATATATATATATATATATATATATATATATATTTTCTATGCTTGAATTGTGTGATTTAATACATTCATTGTGCTTGAACCGAAACATACTATACACGCGTATAAATGTATAATTAGCAGCGTATAATACGACTCGAAAAAACAAAAAATGAAAAGAAAAGAAAAAGAAAAAACCTTTAGTCGGTCGGTTCATTATTACCGGGACTAAAGGTGCCGGCCATCGTGGCATGTCAGGAGGCACCTTTAGTCCCGGTTGGTGTTATCCACCGGGACTAAAGGTCCTCCTTTAGTCCCGGTTCCTGACCCGGGACTAAAGGACCTCCCTTTAGTCCCGGATGCTTGCTCCCGGGTGGAAAACCGGGACTAGAGGGGGTTTACCACCGGGAGTAAAGCTCGATTCTCTACCAGTGTGATATATCGGAGCATTGTTTAAACTGGAATTGATCAAAGTTGACCTACCAGCTATTGACAATGTTCCACCTTGCCAAGTATGGAGCCTTTTAGCACTTTTTTCAACCAAGGGCAACCAATCACAGACATGAAGCCTGCTAGGACTAACTGGTACTCCAAGATATTTCAAGGGAAAGGTACCAACTTGGCAATTAAAAATCTCAGCATAATATTCAGCCCAATTCTCTTCATCATTAATTACCCCTACAAATACATGATTTGTAGAGACCCTTGCGTAGGGGCGGCTGGGCAAACCGCCCCTACAAATAGTCTACAACCGCCCCTAAAAACCCTTTTTGACGTAGTGTTCATCATTAATTGCCAGGATTTCACTTTTGTGAAAATTGATTTCAAGACCTGCCATCAATTCATACAGGTACACCAAAACCAAATGGTTCCTAGCACCATTAATGTCATGCTTCAAGCAAATGATAGTATCATCGGCGTATTGAAGGATAGCAACTCCCTTATCTGCAATATGATCAATCAAGCCACTAAACAAACCATTTGCCTGAGCTTTATGAACCATCCTAGTCAATCCATCAGCCACAAAATTAAATAGAATTGGGGATAGGGGGTCACCCTGTCTCACCCCTTTGTGACTTTTTATATAGAGACCTATGCTATTATTGAGCTTCACACTAACAGTACCCCCAGTGACAACTTGCTTAAGCCAGCTGCCCCATTTTTCACAGAAACCTCTAGCTGCTAAGCATTCAAAGAGAAAACCCCACTTGACTTTGTCGTAAGCCTTTCCAAAGTCTAATTTCAGAATGACCCCAACTTGTTTTTTCCTCTTGGTCTCATGTAAAATCTCATGTAAGACCATAATTCGACTCATAATGTTCCTTTCATGAAGGCTGTTTGATTAGCATGAATTACCTTTTCAGCCACCTTTTCCATTCTTACAGTTAATGATTTGGTAATCAATTTGTAAAGACAATTAAGTAGATAAATAGGTCTGAATTGCAGAATTTTGCAAGCATCAGGTACCTTAGGGAGTAAGGTAATAATACCATAGTTAAGTCTACTGATATCCACATTGCCTCCATGAAAATCATGGAACAGCTACATAATGTCATCCTTGACAAAACTCCAGCATGTTTGATAGAATTCAATAGGAATTTTGTCAGGGCCTGCTGCCTTGTTTTTTTTTTCATTTGATAAAGAGCTTCTTTTACTTCTTCAGAGAAAGGTGCACATAGCAAAGAGTTATCCAGATCAGTAACTTGTTCTAGGTCAGCCCAAAGGGAACTATCCAAATGGATATCATGCTCCTCCCTAGGACCAAAAAGCCCGGCATAATATTCTGATGCATGTTTTAATAAATTCTCATCTCCTTCAATGATATTACCATCATGTTCAAGTGAAAGTATGGTGTTCTTTCTTTTCCTTCCATTGGCAATTTTGTGGAAGTACTTAGTATTGTTGTCCCCTTTCAACAACCACTCCTCATGACACCTATTGTGCCAGTATGCCTCTTCTTGATCAAGAAGATTCAGATTTTCTTGGATTAACCATGATTTTCTAAGCATATGTTGATTGGTTGAACCATCCAATTCCTCAATTGCTTCTAACTCCCTAATCTCTTCACTCACATTTTTCCTTTGTTTTCTCAAATCACCTTGAAGATTGAAACCCCAGCCTTTGAAGTACTGTTTCAGTAGCTTCAATTTTTGCTGAATTTTATGTAAGGCATATGTAGCTCTACAAGGTTTCAGCCAAATTTTCTCATCAGCAGTGATGAAATCAGGGTTAGATAGCCAGCTTAATTCTAACCTGAATTGGATTGATTTGGTGTTCCTATATTGTCCAGAGGCTAAAATTAAGGGGTTGTGATCAGATACTTCCCTTGGAAGTTTCCTGACCCAAACTTGGGGGAATAAATCCTCCCAATCTTTTGACATCAAAATCCGGTCAAGTTTCTCTAAAATGGGAATGTCTTGATTATTGGACCATGTATACATGCCACTGGTCATTTCTATTTCCCTTAACTCATGAAAATCGATGAGTGTATTAAAGAGGTCAGAGAATCTCTACACCAGGTATAGAACTATAGGGTAGTTTTTATCTCCATTTATTTATCTAAAATTAAATGATTGATGAATCGTTCTATGCTTTTGATCCAATCCACGGGGTGACTTAAGCTGTTGGCTGCGTGCATATTTGAATATACAGCCATGAAGTATATATGAAACAATTACCAAGGGTCTGCCTAGTGGCCTAATATATTGGCTGACATACTTCAGCTTTAACTACACCTAGCTAGCAGTACTAGATTTGCACCCAACCGGACCAGATGCCAAGCGATCGATAACGTACTAAACAGTGGAGGATATTTTGATTTCGACTTTGGATTAGGGATACAGTTGGTGCAACAGATGGCCATACACCGCAGCGCAAGGACGTACAGCTGTAGATGGCAAAACCGCCCATACCAGGTGGTCTGGCGGCGGCAAAATTGCGAGCTCCGAACTGTAACGCTGGTGCGCGTGTGCAGACACACACAACAGGCGGTCCGCCCATCAAATGCTTGGTGCTCGGTGCCAAAGACCTCTGAACGCCTTACGGAAAGGACTCATCCGGGAGAGGCATTTATTAGAGTTGTTGGGTCGGTTTGGCCACATAGAATGTCCATACACAACTAGGAATATCCACTTGTGGGCTGGGCCTCCCCTAGTGGCTCGGCCCATGTACACCCCTGTGGGTATCAGGGGTCATACCCCCCACAGAGAGAGGCTAGGTGGGCCTTTGGGCCACTCGGCCAAGGCGAAGGGGAGACGGGGAGGGCGGCGGCGTTCTGGAGAGGGAGGGAGTAGCCGGGCCATCGGGGTGGGCTTCGACCCAAGTGGAGAAGGGAGCGGCTTTGAAAAAGAGAGAAAAAGAAGATGGATGCTTTCTCTCTCAAAAAAAAAGATGGATAGTGGAGGGTCCTCGGATTTTTGGCCCAACCAAAGCTCAGAAAGTTCTCAATATTCTGCAAATTGATTATAGGTCACTTTTGGTGTCGGTAAATTCTATTCACATTTTGATTAGGGTAACATGGCCTTTTTCTGTGTCATTCATTTTTTATTTATGATCAATTATCAGAACATATATTATCTTTTGGTTGGTTGATTTGTGTTTCTAGATGACACCGTAGCATTAGCACGGGCAACGTACTAACTAATGCTAAAAGTAAACACATGGAGCAAAGCATTGGTGTTGTGGTTGTATGCCCCAGGCATGGGTGTGGTACAATGATTGTCCTGTTGAATTGGCTCCATCATCGGACCAAGTCAAATCTTAATAACTAATTAATTCTTCAGATTAATCTGCCCTTAGGTAAGATATAGGAGTATTTATGTATAATTAAAGCATCGTCAGCTCAGTCAAAATGTAGTATGAGTACTGTATAACTAGTTAAGCCCCACAATTAAGCTTGCCTACTGTCGATCATTAGGTTGGATTATGTACTCTAGGCTTCTAGTAGTTACCTAATAAGTATGTCCACAGTCCACACATCGATACCCGAAATTTGCAGAGTGAGCGCCATCCATATGGAACCTAATTTCAGCAGCTACAACCAAAGCTACACCATCCCCAATGCCGCCTATGCACATGACCGGCGGCTACCGGAACAGGATGATGGCCTCTACTGTGACCTTCCTGCACCGGCAGCAGCATACCATTACCATGTAGCCGGCCGAGTCGTCGACACCAAGTACTCAAACACTATCGCCAACGCTGCTTTCCAGCTATCCTCCGATGATCCTGCAGACGCATATGGCGCCGCCGCTTACCGCCACCAATCCTCCACATCCTTGTGGTCCTCGTCGTCGGTGACGGGGACCCCTAACACACACCGCCACCTGTTGCAGCAGCAGCTTCATTTCGGCGGCCGCACCGACGAATTCTGCAGCCGTCAGCAGGATGGCATGGGCGCCGGAGCGGTGGACGACATGCGCCACCAGTTCAGCGCCCCCATGGTCATGGGAGCCGCCTCCATCTCCAAGAAGTCCAGCAGCAGCAGCAGCTCCTCAGCCTCAACGACCTACTACACACCAGCAGCGGCCTGCTTGCCGCATCAGCCCGGCGAGGTAATGACCCCTGCACATGCATTGCCGGCAATGATGCAACCCGATGCCGCCGTCAGCAGATCGAGCCGTCGCGACCTCCGGCTCAGGCAGAACGAGAACCCCGATGAGGCGGCGCCGGCGCTGATCGGGGTGCGGAAGCGGCCTTGGGGAAAGTACGCGGCGGAGATCCGGGACTCGACGCGCAACGGCGTACGCGTGTGGATCGGCACCTTCGACAGCCCCAGGGCCGCCGCGCTCGCCTACGACCAAGCCGCCTACTCCATGCGCGGCCCCGCCGCGGTGCTCAACTTCCCCGTCGAGCACGTGGAGGAGTCGCTGCGCGGACTGGGGCTCGGCTGCGGCGGCGCCGGGGACTCGCCCGTGCTGGCCCTCAAGCGGCGCCACTGCATCCGCAAGCGGTTGCGGAAGAACAAGAAGATGGCGACCTCCGGCAAGGAAGGCTGCCATGGTTCAGCTGAAGCTAGGGAACAGACGGCGGCGACGGCTGGCGTGCTGGAGCTCGAGGACCTCGGGCCTGACTACTTGGAGGAGCTGCTCGCCCTGTCTGATCAATGCAATGAAGAATTCCATTGAGCAATCATGGTACGATCTTCTGATGCATGCATGGATCATCGTGCTGCCACCAGTGATTGTACACGTTGTCTATTGCAATCACAAGGATGACGAGCACGGAGACATCATATACTCAACAACAATTTTTTGGTTGAAACTAAAGCATCCATTTATTGTTTCTTCGATTAATCGCGTCCTGCTTACTTGACTGTATCTGTATATCACCTATGTCCTAATTAGTTTCTTTGTTAGTTTATATCACTTCATCTCCTATATCTTAGGTACTTGATTTTTTTTTGTTGTTATTCAGGAAATATGTAATTTTATAATTGTTTGGCTATAGAAAATAATTTTGAGTTGTTTGTATGAGTTATGTTTTTAATTAAACTAGTTGATTGTGTAAGATTGTTGCATGAAAATTTGTAAAAGAAAAATCAAGAAATATAGCAACCAAGTTTTTTTAAATCTCTAGTTGGGTCAGAATAGGAAGCAACCATGAACTCAGAGAATGCAGTGTCAGAATGCATGCTACATCATTCAGGTATATCTACATATTCAGCTAGCAATGAAAGTTTTGGTACATCCATCACTACTACACCACAGACCTTCACTGCCGATTGCTTTGAAATAGGCAGTGATAAACCTTCATTGCCGGTTCTTTACCTGAAAATTCAAAAATGATTGGTGGTCCATAAAAACCGGCAGTGAAGATCTCTATCACTACCGGCTGGTGGCTTGAACCGGCAATGATATTTTATATATTACAGCCGGTTTCGGTTTCGGTGATGTTTTATATCTCCGGTAGTGACACGGAAGCCACATCACGGCCACTTTCCTTCTGTTGGTTCTGTTTCCGGCAGTGATAGGGTTTCAATCTGCAAAGAAGGGCTACTCTGAGGTAGTGCATGTTCTCATGCCTATTGTGGTCAATCGTATTGGAGGAGCATCATATCTAGCACCACCTGATGTCGATAAGGTTCCCCGTGTGGGGAATCCACCACCTCTCGGCCTCTAATCTGCACCTAAAGACGTACATATACCATATATATCCACCTCCACAAGATCAGCTAACGACGTATGTATAGGATAATTCTATGAGGTTATTTATTTTTGGGATTGAGGGATAGTGCGTTCTTATTCATCTTCAATAGATCTCATACCAAAACGTTTGCAATCTTCAATTAGTTTATTAAACATGGATATCGGTGTATTTCCTATATCTTCTCAGCATCCATAATAGCTTGCTACACTTCATTATGATGATTAGGCTAGGTTTAAAAGTAAAAATCATGGGAGTGAAAATCAAGTGAAACCAAGTAGCATAATTTTTAGCTTGAAAACTATTTCATTTGAGTGCCAAGATAAACTTGAGATGGCCAAAAATATAAAAGCATTCATTTGAAACTACATGTTCAGATAACATAGATCTTTTTTGATTAAAAACATAGAAAACAGAAATAGTCATCTGGGACACCCATGAATATTGATAAGATGGCATGGACACAAAATGTTATGAATTTTTGTTTCTTTTTATATTAACTCCTAGCTCATGGTGACTTTGTCATTGAAACATTAAAGAGTAATCCGATATATTTCGTACACTAGCTTCTCATTTCTTAGGTTTCTTTCTGGTGTTCAAACTATAAAAAATACTGAAGAAATTTGTAAAACTTAGCTGGTTCTTCATTGTTGTTGCAGTAGCATCAACCTAGAACTCTCTCCAATTCATAATATAAGGCATGATTTGACATGGCACAGTATCCAATCTTATACTTTGTACAATAATCCTCTTATAATACAATGTTTCTTACAACAAATCATAACATAACAATATACATTCAAATACATACAAAGCCAATGGTATTATATTGTATAGAAAAGTTTATATTTTGTAAGGCTAATAATTGTTAATTGATAATCTTTCATATCTTTAAATATAGTGTATAGCATTCCAAATTTGTACCTAATTAAACACAAGAATTTCAGGCAATGGAAGGATAATTTCGCTTTAAATAGGCACACAAATTCGGTAGTAGCTATCTTAATCACGAAAGTAACCCCCATTTAATCACGCGTATGACATCTCTAGATGCGGGAATTAAGGTATATACATCTTTTGCATTCTCTCTTAATCATCTATCTTAAAATCTCTAGGATACACTATACTAGGTTTGAATGTTAAAATGCACCATGACTTTATAAAAAAGAATTAAGGGAGTGACACCATGAACTGATATATATTTTATAATATTGTTGTCTTAAAAAATGCTCCTCAACTTTATTTGCTGTTCAGTGTAAGTAATCCATTCGTAGCGTGCTGTACATTAATTGTTCATCGGGAATCACGAACTCTCCGCAAATCTAGCAAAAGCTTACCTTATATTATGTAAAAATAAGGTACATGCTACAAAATGATATCTTATGATGTACTACTATGTAGCAGATATAAGAGGAAAGATTGGAGATAAGAAACAACTTCGCAGCGAGTGTTAAAACCTAAATGACCATATAGTTAACTATAGGTGCTGTTTGGTTGAAGAAATGGTAATGTAATCAGATCACGACGTACCAGTTGCAGAGCATGAGATTACGTATTTTGTTTGGTTCGATAAGGGTGCAGTGGAGAGCGACGCGTGTGATTCATTTAGGGCCGGAGGGAGGGGTATCAGAATAGAATAAGGCCGGTAAACGATACCGTGTGATCTGATTACGGAGCCTATATGAAACAAATGCTTGTAACCGGACTGGATTACGGTGTAATCGGATCACGGTGCTAAAACACCGAACCAAACAGCACCTAAGTTGCATCTTGTAGTTGCACACCTCCAAATCTTCTCCCTGCACTTCTCTTTTGCCTCTTGTAGTTCTATTTGCGATAGCTTTATAAAACATGATCGCTCAAAAAAATTCAAAAACAAGCAGTCTTTTGTTATCCAATATATAACTAACGCAGAGAACTAGAAGTTGATGGAGGCGGCGATGACGCCCTGTTATTTAGTATTAATAATAGCCGCCCTACGTCATGCATGAGCAAGGCTAATGCCACTGCCCATTTAGTATTAATTATTACTTGTGGTCTTGTGGAAGGGTACTAATTACTACTTCAGTTCTTAATTAGGGTAAGATGACATGTTTCTTTGCACCCTTCTCCTGCTGCGGCTAGGCCCCACACCTCCTCCTGCCCGCCTAGCTGCAAGCGAGAGAGAGAGAGAGACAGAGAGCATAGCTACATGCGAGAGAGAGGCAACATAGCTGTGCACGTACCCCAATGGAAGAGTATTTGTCAAATCATGTAAATACTGCTCCTCTCCGCCTTAATATATAAGGCGTAACCACTTTTTGTTCAAGTCCCATAATATAAGGCGCGCTCTCTCTAGACACACTACAATGATGCAGTAATACTAGTGTTGAGAGAATTTAATGCGTTCCATGGTCTTTGAGACAGAGGTGGTTACGCCTTATATACTGTGATGAGGGAGTACATTTAAAAGACTATATTTTATTTTTCCCCAATGCACTGTCTTCTCTCTTCTACTCATCTATATATCCACACTTTCTATCTTGGTTCCGTGTATACATAGTTTCTTATACTATATACAAAAGGTCATTTCTTTCTATCTCCTCCTTAATTCCAATGTTGCATCACCATTTTTTTACTTGGCACCCTAATTAATGCCATAAAAACCATAGTAGTCATGAGTCATCCATTGGGACTGGCCTTAGAGCATCTCCACCAGATTAAGAAAAGGTAATCCCCTTTTCCTAAAACATGGGGCTATGCTAGCGCCTGGACGTCTGGATGAACCAGCCCGTTTGGATGCCCACACATGTTGTTTGTCTGATGCGCCCCACTCCTCCTCTTGCTTTTTTTGGAACACGCACCTTCTCCTATTGTTGTTGCGCCCCACGCCTCCACCTGCCCGCCTAGCTACATGTGAGAGAGAGGGAACACAGCGCGCGTACCCCCAATGCGAGAGAGAGAGCACAACTGCATGCGAGAGAGAGGGAAAACAGCATGCATACCCCAATGCGAGAGTGAGAGCACAACACACGTGCCCCAATGCGAGAGAGACCCTAGCTGCATGCGAGAGAGAGGGATCACAGCACTCATACCCCAATGCGAGAGAGAGAGAGAGAGAGCACAGTGCGCGTGCCCCAATGCGAGAGAGAGAGGGAGAGGGAGCATGCGCACATGCACATGTGTTGAGCCGGTTACATGCTCCACCGTCGGGGACCACGACTGGTGGTGCAGGGGCACCTGGTGCAGCGCGTGCTTGCCCACGAGTCAAAGCACATGGGGAGCAACACCTGTTGCAACATACTGAAACAAGGTGAAACAATTGAGACATGCATTTGCAACATATGTGTATAACCACTGCAACATATACAACATCCAGATGAAACAGTTCAAACATTTAGAAAACACACTAGCAACATACGTGTATAGCCATTGCAACGTATGCAACATCCAAAATGAAACATACACCTAAAACAAATATGTCGGCGTGGAGCTCGATGCCCACGGTCACCCATCACGGGAGCAGCAAATGGTGCATCCAGATGCAAGGCCCGTCTGCTCTCACAAACTCCTAGGGCTGGTCATTCTCTCTCTGGTCACCGTGCACTCTCTAGTCACACCGCACATGCACGGGCCCCACATGCCACATGCATCCCACGTTGAGCGAGTGGCCGCATGCGCTCCCAAGCGCTGACCACAGAAAGGACTGCAGTCCACGTCTAATTGCAACTACGTGCACCTCTTTTTTTCTTGGTTATCATGCCGTGTAGGTCGGGGTCCGTCCGGATGGACGGACGACCTCAACCAAGCATTACCATAAAACATGGCATATAAGAGATTAAGGTAAAAAATCAATCTCCAGCAGATCTCCTTTTCCCTAGTTTTTTTAATCTCCTATTCTCCCGTCAATCCCTCAAACAAAGGAGAGACCCATCACGGGCCCCGGTTGGAACCGAGCTATCAAAGCCCTGGCCATCTTGCCCGAGCCTACGATGGTCGGAAT